TTGGGAGGGGTAAACCAATTGCCACCTGGGAGAAAAGAGTTAGAGAGTTTGTTGGAGAGAGAGCGGGAAGGGGAGGAAGAGTGTTTGAGAGAGCAAGTGAGGTGTGCAAGGATAAAATGGCTTGGAGACATTTCTGCCATGGCCACCCCCTGTTGGGGAGTTCCCGGGAGGGAACGTGGCATTGGCGATATTGATTGATAGATCAAAATAGAGGTGCCGGAGCGACGCTCCGGTGAGCTCCGGCAGCACTGCACCCCTGCTCTTAACAAAAGTTCGCTTCCGTGGTGAAACTGAGTCACCGAACTTACTTACCCTGACCGTCATATGGTGTGGCAGTGGCATGGTGGGAAGTGTATCAGGCGGAGCCAAGTTCATGTCCTTCCCCCTCCCCAACTTCCTTCACCAAAAAAAAAGAGTAGAAAGTCAGTTGGTGAACATTGACATGAAAATTAGCTGACAAACAAAAACAAATGTCATACATATGAGTAAATTAATCAATTAACCAATGACTTACGTTTTATTTTTATAAACTGACACAGGCTACCACAGAAACACATCTCCTTATTTTGTTTCACACAGATAAGGTATTAAAGTTACATACATTTATCGTAAAAAAAATGAACTAAAAAGACAAACTGAATATCGTATTTTAGTATGCTGATGTATAAAACATTTTCATGATTCTATGATAAAACAAGTCTAACAAGCATTATTACAACATATATTAATTACGTTTTGTTGTGCAATCTGGAAATAGCGACTTACTATATCCGGGTTGACCATGTTACAGCACCTAAGGAGGTCCTGTAAGTTACGGACTCGCTTATGGAGTCCACTGCCAAATATTTGTTTCGAGTATACCGATCGGAGACTGTAAGTCCAGTTATGGGGTAAACAAAGAGATGCAGTCCCTTAAATGCTTTTGAGTATGTGGCCCCTGAACTGTTGTCACCAGGGATGTAATTACCACAAACAATCAATCAATTCATCGCACCCATTGCATCTCGCCTACATGCTGCGCTTCTCATTCTACTATAGTCGTCACTGTTCTTCATACAGATGTCGTTCTTGTCACAATATTGTTTATTTGTTATTACAGTAATTGGTAAAGATACATTACTGTAATAATCTGTTTATTAATACCTGTACCTTTCACATACAATACTGTATCTTTTAGATGAAAAATGTCATCTGGTATGTACAGTGTTACCCTGCTTTCCACGGTTTCACTTTCCCTTTCCCTTTCCGCGATTTCTCATTTGCGTGGTACCTTGCCAGAACCAGACTTTCACTTTCCTTTCCGCGGTGCATCTACTCATATACGCAGTGGAGTATAATTTTTTTTTTTAGCTCATAAAATTCATACAAATTACCTGGCCAGAATATAATTTACATTGCTGGAATTCTTACAATATGATGATCATTTTGAATATAAACATCATGGATTTTGCATTAGACATACAAATTTTAGATCTAATGTAATAAATTGGTTTACACAAAGCAAATATTTTATCTTTTGTGCAAAATATATGAAGCTTACATTCAAAATATTCCCTGACCTGCAAGGAATCCAGAAATGTCAATTATATTATCCTAACTTTAGTCTGAGGTATTATTTATTACTAAACGTTAAAATCTAGTGTTTTCACCCAAACATTTCTCAGAGAGGTAGGAGCTAGTAAGCTGGGAAGAGGGGAGGGGGGAGGGGATTTGAGTCCATTATTTGAATGGACATTAACCTGGCGACTGTATTTCTCTTAAATATTAATTGTGTGAGCATACCATCATAAAATTTAGATGTTATTTTTACTACAACATAGGTATTGTGTCGGAAAAAGTGGAGTTTGGGGGTCGGGCCAGTCTCTATTGGAATTAATTCCATATGTTCTGTTGTTCACTTTACTCGTTTTCTCCGCGGTTTTCACTTTTTCACTTTCCTGTGGTTCAGTTGACCGCGTAAATCGGGGTACTGTACTACTGTATCTTATTACTGTACACTATATGCAATGGTACAAAGACCCCATAGCGCTGTTTCAGATAGCGCTTCATTTTTCAGGAAGGTATATTGAGTGCTAACCTGGGGTATACTGTACTGTATATGAAATTTGAAATATTATAAATTATTGATGATTAGGGTTTTACTGTTTGGCAAATGACTAATTTTTTCTTTTGACATTTGTCCACAGAATTACCCAGATGCAGATATGAAAGTGTGTCCATTCAATGCAACTCATGTAGTACGCACTATTCACTATCAAAAACACATCGTTGAATGTGAAAACCGAGACACTGTTGAACTGGAGCTTTATCGAAGTAAGTCACCTGTATTATTTTGATATGTGAACAAGAAGATGTGTTTCATTTTAAACTTACACAGGATTTTGCAATTTAGTACCTATTTTACTTCATACAAATATGCAGTCACATTGATTTTTCTCCCAATAAGTGTAGGGGTGGGTTCTCATATGCTATAGTTATAAATCTTCAAAAATTCATAAGTATAAGTGTATTAAGTACACAAGTGACATAACTTATTACTCAGCTGTAAGTATAGTATTACAATACCTCATTCATTTATCATGTTTACCTAATTGGCCACCCACTAGAGGTGGTCATGCCGAGGGAAGGAGTCCAGTGGCCTGTTTAGAACTCCTTCATTGTTCTTGTTAATTTTGTTAAGGGCTCTTTTGAATTTCAGTATTGTTGTTCATTCCACAGCTTTGGCTGGGAGACTATTCGACAGGTCTACCACCCCGTGTCCCGTGTGAAAAATTATTTCCTTATACGTGTTTGTTCTGCATATATTCTTGGTGAGCTTGTAGTTTGTACTCTTGTATTGGTGGTGTGTGACATCACAAAGAAATGTTGCTGGTTCATATTTTCCATCCCATTCAGGATTTTGAATGTTTCAATGAGATCTGCCTTATTGTGCCTTGTTAGAAGGGTTATTTTTAAGGTCTTTTGGGTAATTGAGATAACATAGTTCTTCAATCATCATAGTCGCTCATGTTGCACCTTTTGTAAGGATGTTTGATCTCTCTGGGGTAGGGTTTCCATGCCTGTATATAGTAATCCAAACTGGGATGTACTTGAGATTTGTACAGTTGAAGGAACGTTTCCTATTTTTGTATTCAAAGGTATGCTTTAAAATTTCCGAATCTTGATTTGCTATCTCTCTTAATTCATTTATTTCCCCTGTGGTATAACTTTCTCTTGGTACTGGCATGTTATCTGTTGCAAACTTCATTTATGGTATTGGCTGTTTGTCATCCTCCAGGGCCATATTGTGTTCATCATTGGTTTTCATTTTACTCATGGCATGTGTGAAAGGATTTGGGATATTTCTAAATGTTTTTGGGTAGTTTCATCTCAAAATGCAGTTTGGCTGTTCTAATTCCTGATTGGCCACAGTTAGGACACTCTTGTAATCAGTTCAGTAATATCTCCATTAGCAGGAATTTGTTTGGAATAATTCCAGAAATTTCCCAGAATTCCTGGTTTGAGAACACATTCTGAGGTTGAAAATCAGGAGCATTTACTGGGGGGGGGGGAATCTGTCCAAATTTTTATTTCTGGCTCTGGGAGCAAATGTCGATTATGAAATAATGCGCAATTACCGGAAAATCTGAGAAAATTGCTCGAACCTTTCCTTTCTGCTCCGGGCCTGGGTACAAGGGTTCCCGGTATTATAAAGTATTGCATCATGTTCAGCTGCACACTAACATGGTTGGTGCGTGGGCGAGAAAGCCAACTGCTTGGGTAACGCGGGATTTTTCTTTAAATGTACAGTTGCTCAAAAATTTATCCGAAAAGTGGGGTCCGATGGATGTCAAAGTAAACATACAACCCCTGTTGTCTGGGTACTGTTGTCTGGTCCTCTACCATCTACCAAAAACATACAACCGATGTCATATTGTCATGAGCAGTATTTTTCCAGATACTTTTTGAGCGACTGTACTGTACATAAAATACTAAAGTGAAATAATACAGTCGACCCTCGTTAATTCGGACCCCTTTAATCCGGATTTCGGATAATTCGGACAAAATCTGATTTTTTTTTTAGATTTTTAGGAATATTACCTATGCGGACCTTAAGCTGAAATGCTGGTCCACCCACTGCTGGGATAAAACATGTATCATCTCCACCACTAGTGTGGGGGGGGGGGGGATGCAACCTTTAGCTACAGACATGAAAATTTTTTACCATTTACTGCCAGTAAACAATGGAAATGTAAAATATGTACCAATTAGTAATGAAAAGTTGTGCAGTTCCTTCAGCAAATGAAGCTCACCAACTTACGATAGGCTAAATTACCTTACAACGTGTTTTCAGTAGTCTATGTTGAAGTTCTTAGCTCAGGCTAACTTATCATATCATATATACGGTATCACAGTTCTCATTGATCTACAAAAAATACCGGTAATAAAAACCTTTTTGATATTTCACACTTAATATAATACCCGGTAATCTACTTCAACCTCCTATTGTTTACAACGACGCATGACGCACCACCAGCTGTTGAGTATCAGCTAGACGGTACACATGTTTTTCGAATCGTTTTCAGTTAAGAAACTGTTACATCACTTGTATATTTTACCTTAACTGTGCCTGAATGAATATATTCTCGGAAATAAATAGTAGTTTTGCTGAAACGTGATGTATTTTAATGTAAAATAGGATAAAATACATGACGAAAACAAAAGATTTTACCTAACCTTCCGATGTTCAAGAGAAGTTACTCGTTTTTTTAATAGTTTTTGGCTAAAATACTGTTACTGTATATTACAATGGTATACTATTCATACTGTGCTTGATATAATGCATTCACGGAAATGTAATATTTTTGCTGAAATGACGTAGGTATTACAGTGGAAAGTGGGATAAAATCGTGACGAAAACAATGACTTTCGCTTTCTTTCGTTCAAAAGATGTTACCGTAATCGCTTTTTGATTGGTTTTCAGTTAAAATACTGTTGTATTACAATAATATTCTATCTTAATTGACTTGAATAAATACTACGATACCATATTTCTGAATATTTTCATTAAAATCCATCCAAATCATTTTCCTTGTCATCGTCTGCAGCACCAAACAGCTTCTCCCAGTCCTCTCTTTGAACAGGGCTAGAGGGTACGTGTTTTTTGAATCGTATTCAGTTAAAAAACTGTTACAACACACGTATATTTTACCTAAACTGCGCCTGAATGAATATATTCTCGGAAATAAATAGTAGTTTTGCTGAAACGTGATGTATTTTAATGTAAAATAGGATAAAATACATGACGAAAACAAAAGATTTTACCTGACCTTCCAATGTTCAAGAGAAGTTACTCGTTTTTTTTAATAGTTTTCGGTTAAAATACTGTTATATTACAATGATATTCTATTCATACTGTGCTTGATATGATACATTCACGGAAATGTAATATTTTTGCTGAAATTACGTACGTATTACAATGGAAAGTGGGATAAAATTGTGACGAAAACAATGACTTTGAAATATAATGCAATATTAACCCCTAAATCGGTTAATTCGGACAATCTGCTAAAACGGACACCCTTCCCCCCCTATTGGTCCGAATTAACGAGGGTCGACTGTACAGTAATATACCAATGTAATTCCGAGCTGAGATAATGAGGTGACAAGTCAGGTGGTGAGGTGACATGCCAAAACACTTACACAGCACACACATTAACAGCACTACTAAATTATTGTCTTATATCATTTTACTTTATAATTTCTATTTTAAAATTAATTGATACATGATGGCTCAATTTGGCTACTTTTGCACTAAGACAACTGATCAATGAATAAACCAGGGCATATGAAGATGCATTATACACTAGTGATGTCACAAAGCTTCGAAACTGCAACCACAACTGCTGTTGGGGGTGTGCATATGTGATGTTGAGGTGTATTCCTGACATGCATGCACGCACGCACTCACACAGAGAGAGGGGAATTAAGACAACACACATCCAGTGAGGGTCTTGTTGGGACTACATGGAGATGAGATAAACATCAGTGTTGAGGAGCCTATCGCTTGGCAACACTGGTGCATGTTACCATTCCTTTCCACTCCATCTCTCTAATTACCCACACCGTCCTGCTTTCTCACTCCATATTTTAAAATGATGTGTAGCGTAATGTTGAAGGGATACAACTTTGCTCATTTATATTTATACTTATCATAATCTCCTTAAACATTCCTTAGCTTTTGTCTTTATTCAAGACATGTTCAGGTCTTAAGACCCACTAATCCCCCACCCAAGAAAGGGTGACCTGAAATTCCATCAGGTCAGCAATATGAGACCACTAATCCCCTACCCGACTTTCAACTGACAATGCGTTGGGTCAGGTCAGTTACACGAGACCCACTATAATCCCTCACAGCTTCATGGGAGTGAAAAATACCAGTCTTTGCTGTAACACAGTTTCATTCTTGCCCAAATCATACAGATTTTAAGTTTGTAAATATATGTATTTAACCAAACTTTTAGATAACCTATTCTGGACTATTATACTGTTGTAAAGAAATGGAGTTTCTAACTTAATTAGAACTGCATTTATGGACTCTGGTAGTTTAGACTCCAGGAAAACATCCTCAGCTCCCAGAAACATTCTGGGGAAGTGGGCTAGTGTCTGTGCAAGGTGTCAAGTATAGACACTCGGAAAATTTTCCCAGTAACTGGAAATGATTCCAGGGATACCGGCAAGGAATTTTTCTGGGTTTGAGAAAGTCGTCTGGTTACCCAGAAATCTCTCATCCTTGGAAGTGCTCTCCTCCAATTGTTCCGGCTAATGGGGATATCACTACTACATAATCCTCATGATGCCTTGGGCCTGGATGAACTAACATATTTTAAGTCAATTAACTCTGGTGACAATTAATTCTCTGCTAGCACTCATTAAGTTACCTGTCTTGGCTAAGACCATATGCACAATGCAAGCTAAGTGCACTAAAGTCTGGGAACTTGGAAACTTAAGTCCACTCCTCAGTTGTTTTAAGTGAAAAGCCAAACCCGCATTTACTGGGGCAATGCTTTTAAATGTAATCTACCAAAAAAATATATTTCATTATTTTTCTTTAAAATACAATTTGTATGATTGGTGCTTCCCACCTCTGCCAACTTTTGCGTACATAAAGTCAGGAGAGTAATAATAATAATAATAATTAATGGTTTATTCAAAAGGTTCTGAAAGCTGAAAATATACATTGAACATAAATGACTTATTACATACATTGACGGTTTAACAAAAGCCTTCTTTAGAGAAAGGTAAAGGAACATACAATGAACATACAGATTAAT